GGGACAGGCATCTCTCAGAAATAGGCGAGGCTCTTAGGAGTTCATATCACCAAACCATAGCTTGTACTCCGTATTACGCACTTTTCGGGCAGCAAATGTTGACTCCCGCGAAAGATTATGAGCTCCTACGGAAACTCGAAGAAGAAGACAGTAATGTGCTTGAAAAATCGGATATATTGAAACTAGTAAGAGACGCGATAGCTAAAAATATTCAAGCAGCCTTTGAGGCTTCAGCAAAAAGATATAATTTACGTAGTAGTACAAAAACGTACAAAATAGGAGATATAGTGTTCAGAAGGAATCTTGTTCAAAGCGATGCAAGTAAAAAGTTCAATGCAAAATTCGCTCCTAAGTTTGTCAAAGCAAAAGTCATTGGAACCAAAGGCAATTGTAAGTATTTATTTGAGGATGTAGAAACCAAGAAAAAGGAGTATTATCACCAAAAAGATATTCGCAACAGTTGCGAATAACTCCGACAACCGCACCAACACTTTTGGAGGGGGGGTGTGTACCGTCGTACAGGTATCGTAATTTTAGACGCTTTTAATCTTTGCCGGCCACTTAATATCGCCACAACTGTAAGTAGTTGACTGTCTCTTCTGGCTTTTCTCATATTTTCCCTTTTTTCATCTTTATATATACCTCTTTAGCGCCACCTTATTGTGAGTGACGATAATTAGGTATTTATAAACTTAAGTAAAACCACTTTTCAAAATGATAAAAAGAAAATACCTAAATTTGCATTTTTAATACCCGAGGTATATTTTAGACGCTTATCTACCTTTATTTCCCGCAAAAATGCTTCTATTAAGACCCCATTTCGAGTTTTGTTACTTTACTATTTTTATGGTATACCATAAACTCCCTAGCTCTGATCTACAAAAAGTAGTAAAATAGACAGGGATGATCAAGAAAGCACTTGTTGATCACGAGAAAGAGGCGTTGAACATTTCCGTTTTCCGAGGATCGTTCTTTTGGATTGAAGCCAGCGAAAGGTGCAGACGTGTGCATAAAAGTATCTATTTTAAGCTTCAAAAAGAAATCCGGTTCTTAGAAAATTAATTTCGCGTAAGGTAGCGAAATCCTTAATATTCGGCAGCATCATCCAGATCCACTGAGGCATTTCGGCAAAAGTAATGCCTTCCCCAACAGCCAAGTTGCAAGTTATATGCGGATGAGAGGCTGCAG